AGCATCCACAAGAGCCAACAATAACCGCCAACAATTGCCGTCGGTCAAATCCCGAAAGTGCTCACGCTAGTGGAAAACCAGAACATCCACAGTTCCATCATTATTGCGCAAACTCCATCTGACACGGTCAAAAGCTCCAGAACGAGCAAATAATTAACCCTGGAGTTGAGATTTTTGTTGTTTTCGGTGCTAACAACGAGCCTGCAGGAAGGCATCGCTCACAGTGACGCAACCTGCGACCGTGATTTATCTTTTAGCCTGTCGCTGTCCAACAACCTCACAGCGTCGCCCTGAAACGTGCAAACCCACAGCTGGGATCCGCTCTAGTGTCCACACAGAACAAGTGTAAGTGCTTTCACGCTGAAGGTTAATAGGTAGTTTGCGAGGACATTCCAGAGAAGGTCAAAAATGTAAAAGGTGAATTCCAAATGAGCTTTGTCTGCTTGATGAGAGGCCTCTTTGACCTTTAACATTACAACGTTTTTGAAAATATCCGAAGCTTTGACGAGAATCCTTCTGTCAATATGTGATGTGTCCGTGCGTGTGGGCTTTCCTTCTCTTTTTTCTTTCCCTTTGTTTGGTGCAAAAACTGAATAACATGGAGCCAAAGGAAAGACGGAGCAGTGTTTATGACAAAATGTGGGGGTTGACTTGGATGTATTGGTTCAAAGGGACTAGACAAGAGGAAACAGGAGGTTCAGGAGACATAGACACTGAGACATTGTCTCTTCTTGGTTGGCGTCACCTTTTATCAGCAGTGCACATGGCTGTCTACTGATAAACACAACTGGAATGGGTGCCAGTGATTCTGATGACACGTTGGGCTCTTCAGTCGTGTCCTTGCTTTAGAAAATGTCCTTTTTTCCTCATTCTGTGAGCATAAAACTAAATTAATTAGTATTTTGAAAGGGACTTTGTTAAAGACAGAACCTCAAAATGATGTAGTGAGCAATGTATTTAAACTTTCAATTCAATTAGTCAAAAAACTAAAGGAGTTTTTGGTGGATTCAAGAACCGTTCTCCTATCAGTAAGCTCCATCCCTTCGTCTTTATCCACGTTTGTGTTTTGATAGAAAGCAGCAGCTTCCTCCCTGTCGCCGCTACAGCTGGACAGTTCCAGCGTGGCTCGAGCTCAGGGTTAAATGGCCACCTGGCTGCAAGTGCGTCAGTCTGTCATGTGTGGCCTGTTTCCTCACATTGTGCTGCTCCACACTGGCAGCGTCCACAACGTTAATTGCGGAATATGTCATCCCTCAGGGGACAGCATGTGAGAGTTACTAAGACTTACTCAGCCAAAACTATCAATATCCTTCTCGTAGCCGTTGTATATCTATATTTATGCTGGCTGACCTTCTGTGTGTGTTGTCGAGCAACGTCCTGCCTGTGTGTTACCCGGTGTTTTACGGAGCTGGCACCTTGATCAGAGGGACTTAATTTGTAGTTATTAGTGATAGACTCCACAATACTGAACAATGGCTCTTTTAGTAGTGTTAGGGCATGTGAATGGAGACGTTTTCATAAGAGACTTGGCGTAGAAAGAAAAGCGCAGGTGCAATAACATTAATGATGGCTGTGTTATATTCAAAAGCCCCCGTAAGCCATGACAACAGCGTAGCAGTGAGCCAGCATGCACAATACCGGGGGGGCTGAAACCAAAGCAGCAGCTAGCGTGAACCGGTCACAGTCCTGAGCTGACCCGCGCACGCAAAAGAACAGCACGTCACACACAGCGGGCTATTGTACAGATGTAAACACGGAGGTCGCCGAAGCCAGCGCTCGCGGTCTCATTTACTGATGTGCAGTAAAAGCCAGCAAATTTGTGATAAGCCCCACCACAGCGATTTGCGAGGTCTGTCTGCCCTCCATATTTGCATTTACCAAGTGAGGCCGGCCAGCACAGAGTTGTGATGAATGTCGATCCAGAGTGATGAAAGGACCTCCGATGTGGCTGCTCAGACGGTCGCTCTGCATCTGATTTTGGACCACGTATGAAATGAAAGTGGCCAAAACAGAATCAAAGGGATCAGATTACATGTGGTTTGTCCATCCTAGTGGCAGTAGGGCTGGTCCGAATCATAGACTGTATAAAAGATGGACGTAGCAACCGGCCCTGAAAAATGAAGCCAACTCGGAAGTGTCAAAAACCTACGTCTGCCAGCTGCTGGCTCCAAACTTGAATTGGAAAAGAAGTGATCACAGATCACGAAATACTGCATTCCTACAGCTCAGGATTTTTTTCACATTAGTTTTCATAGTCAAGTAGAGAGATCAGGTGGCCAATCTGACAATAAATCAATACTGAATTTTTAAAAAATCATCAACATTTTGCGGGGCAAGGGGCGTGGCTGGCTTGATTGACAGTCGGCAGCGACGATACAGAGGAAGCGAGCAGAACGCAGTAAATGTGGGCGGGCAGAGAGGGCCCGCCTCTCAATCCGTCTGACCAATCGCTGCTCCTATGGCTCCGCCCCCCTCCGACGATTTTTGCGTCACTGACTCCAAAAATCCAAGATGTCAACCAGGAAGTAGCAAAACCCTGGCTTCATTTTCTCAGTGCAGAAACCAACGGGTGACGTCACGGTAGCTACGTCCATCTTTTATACAGTCTATGGTCCGAATAGCAATTTGTGTTCTCTGGATATTTGGCCCCAGTTATGACGAATATCCTGAATATGTGGGGGCGCCGCGCAGCAGTGAGCGGCCATTTCCGCCATCAGCGGTCATCGTACTGTATCCGCCATCAGTAGCAGTGGTGGCGCCAGAAGGTGGGAAGGTTATTCGGAAATCAAAATTGATATCCCGATTCCAGCACAGCGTACGAATAGTCTGCTATTCGGTTATTCGGGTCCAGCCCTAAGTGGCAGCCATTTTAGTAACACCCTGCAATTATTTTGGGCCAACAAGCCTGAGTCCCCATCTAAATGAATAGGGAGAGAGTCATAACTGCAGTTTTAGAAGTCATAAAAACTAGAGAGAGACCAAGAATCAAATCTGATGAAAGTTGCTTAAAAGCTTTGGCAATGTTGCTCGTAAACTGAGGTATAAAATGCCATCTCCCTCCACAGACTATAATACGCATGCTGACAGCTTCACAACCCCTCACTTGTGTCAACGCAGCAACATGATTGGCTTCATGTTTTCCGCTTTGGCTGTTATAAAGCAACCAAGACTTCTAACACAACCCCAAAATAACCGTAAGTAGATTACTAGTTTACTATACCTGGCGAAAACTAATGCAGCCTATGATAATTAATACCCTGAAAATTTTACAGCCAGTTTCCAAAATGTGGAATCGGACTACTCCTGCTTTACGAAAACAAGTTTTTAATCCAGGACTAGACTTAAATTGAAGTTGTGTTGCCAGGAACAGCATTCTCCAAAATGAACCAGTACCTACTGAAGAAGGTGACTTCCTCGACTCTGATTATGCAACAACATACTTAAATGAAGTTTGGTCTTGACAGGCAGCCAACATCATTTGGAAGGCATGTTGGCAATGCAAGCTCTCATACGGAGAAGTGTCAGCCGTCAACACCTATGCAGCTCCTTCGCAGTACATTTGGGATGGCTACACTCTCTTTGGTGTTCATGTTAACAGATTTTTCACACTGTACCTCTTATTAAAGCAGTAAAAGCAAAGGTATTAGCTGGATGGGGAGAAGAGCCATCCTGTTGCACTGTTCCTCCAGCTCCTTCACAATGCAGCCTGTTTTCAACCACATCTGCTTTACACTGCCACAATACTTACACCTGACCTTTCAAGTCTTAAAAGGAGTCTTCGCATGCACAGCGCACACCACAACGTACGACACCGATCACCCCGTCAATCAGCACTTCACATTACTTACGTCTGGCCACCGATACAAGACTTAAAAATAGAGGAGGGTCTGAAGAGGAGGGCGACTGACTTAGTATCTCCCAGTAATGAGTGACAGCTGGTCTTAGAATAATCATTCATGAGGGTTTTAATGAGGATTTCATCTTGTCTCCTCAGCAGTGGGGTGTAGCTTTCAGGTAAGGTCGCCATAGTAGTGTCCATTTTGGTTTACAACATGAGAGCAAAATTGCAACAGGACAACTATAGCTGGTAGTAACAGGAGACAGCGGAAGTGAACGTTTTGAGTGTCTTGTCTATCCCAGACATTTATTCCGCAAAACTTGCAGCCGGGAGACTTTGCTGGGTGTCAGGACAGTGAACGGTGCTGGAATTGCGGCGATCGGTTGTGATTTGGACAAACTACACCGACACGGAGTCCGATCAGAGACGACGCCGGCAGTTACCCGAGAGAGAAGGAAGCGCAAACGGTACAAACGTAAACAAAGGAGGAGGAAGAGAGCTGGGATCCATGCTAGGCTAAAGGCTAACCCCTCCAGACCAGCAGGACCGTCCTCCTGCTCTCCAGTGTCCGCTCCCTCCACAACAAGCTGGACGAGCTACGTTTGCTGAGAGAAACCCTCAGAGAGTGGAGGGACTGCTGTGTGTCTGCTTTAACAGAAACATGGCTCCATGACAACATCCCAGACGGACAGACAGCTGGAGAGGATGCAGACAGACAGACAGACAGCAGCTCTGGGCAGCATCTGTGGCTTCACCATCGTCACACCATCGTGTGTGTCTTTGTGTCCCTGAAGATCAACCAGGACCTGAAGAGGTTCACCATGTTCAACGGATGGCGGCACACATGGATGCAGCGCCCCCTTCAGCAGACCACAAGATTGAACGTTTAGTGTCTTATCTATCCCAGGCGTTCATTCTGCAAAACTTTAATGATCCTGAAGAAACGCTCTCTCATCTTGCCTGTACTGTGTATGTACTGCAAAATGACAATAAACCTGATTTGATTTGATTTGATGTAAGTGCAGGCGATTTATGCTTTGAGACTCACCAGCTGCCTACTGGGTGCAGCATGGAGCGAAACATCCATAAGAACTGGAACAATTAGCAACAGTAGAGCAGCTAATGGGGACAAGAAGACAGAATGCAAAAACCAGCAAAGAAGTGACATGTCACAAATGTATTTAAAAACATGTAAAAAGTATCATCTATCAAAATGCATTACAACAAAAATGGAACATTTCACATAAATACACATCACCACACCTGAAAACGGTGCAAAAGCACAATGCAAACAATGTGTACTTTAAGACATTCACACAAATTCAAGTTTTTTGCCAGATGTATGCACGGTAGTGGGTATTAAAAGCAATAAGGTCTCAATGGAAGTTAAAAGCATGCACTAGCGTGACAAAGTCATCCCAGGACCTGTGCTTTTCCTGGAGCATCAGTTAACCCGGAGCAGCTACTTTGATATGAGCGATGTGCTTGTATGGTACAATCATTTATTCATGCGGAAAGATATGTTTCACCCCATTGAAAAATCAATATATAGTGTACATTGTGAAATTCAGAAGGGTATTGATTTGTACAATCAAGATGAGAACTTTGAAAAAATTACTTTCGTATCGGACTTTCTTTGATGGCTTTTTTAAAATTATCTGCAGTTAGTTTAAAGACAAATAAAGTCCTATAAAAAGTGTATTTTTATACTTTAAATCCTGCATTTACATGTAGCTAAACTCTGACTATGCTAAAGTCTAAATGCTTAAGCTTATGCTCAGACTTATGCACACATACTGAGGAGTTGTGCACAAAAATATGCATTTCTGGAAGTCTGTCTATTCCTACCAAGGTAAAGAAAATGACAAGAAACAGGACGCCTGAAGAAAAACCAAGAGGAAAGTGATATACACATATATATATTTCTATATATATATATTTGTCTTGGACTTCCCCAACTGAAATCAAGCGTCTGACTTAGAATAATTGCATCTTGTTGTACAGACACTATGCCATGGCTGGAGGATGTTGCACATGTGCCAAGTATCACCTTGAGGAAAGACTGCAGACATCCAGGGCTAAATGAGGCTACGAGGTTCACAAGACTGCATGGCTTGGGGGTTGTGATTATTGTCTGACTTCATATTGTGTTACAGAAGTCGTCTGTGCTGAAGCCGAAGAGGGGAGGGGGGAGAAGAAAAAAAAATGCAGAACCACAATCCTACACATTGTTCCGCACACTCCTGCTCCTCCTCTCGCTGCTGATCCTCAACCATCTCTGCTGCCCTGACCCTGATCACAACCTGGGAGGATGATGTTACAGGAAGCCTGATGCTCCTGGGGAGATAGTGCTACCCCATGGTGACAGCTCGCTCTTCACCTCCTCTTTGACTGCCTGCCTGAAGACCGAGAGAGAAGAGGGAGGGATGAAGGGAGGGGAGGGACGTTGGGTGGGTGGATGGGTGGGTGATAAAGGGGATTAGAGAGACAAGGTGTGGGGGAGGAGTCAGATTTCAACTTATCAATTAAAAAAACAACAACAAAAAAACAACTTTAACTTTCCTCATCAAACATCTAAAAATACTTCACCTAGATTATTTAAATTATGTCAAATATGTTTTGTTTTTTTCCCACTAAAAAGTTAAATGACCTTATTAAAAGCTCAACATCTATTCCCTCTCCTTCACTATTAAATCCTAAATCTTTGAATATGCAACAGTCGCTGATCCCAAAGGTTTACCTGCTGGATTCTGCCTATTTGAATGAAAAGCCTATTCTTAGTGTTTGAGCATTGCAGCCTTCAAGTTTCCATCACAGTGTATGAAAAGGGAAGAGTTCTTCCCAACCTATAAAAGGGGGAAAAAAAAAAATCTGATTTCCTCATCGCAGTTATCGCTCAGGACCAGAGCAACAGTCCTAAGAGACGCCGCGGCACTTCCTCCGCCTTCTCTGGTTGCATGGCAACATAACGGGGATCTGTCATCGCATGAAGTCAGCGTGCTCGACCGGACTTGGGGAGGATAATGCAGCAGTTTCCATCCCCTCCAATACGGCGGGGCAGCAGTGGCTCCTCTCTTTGTTTGTCCTGGCTGAGTGGGTGGTCCAGTCAGCCACACAAACGCCTCCTCTATCTCTCCTTAGTCGAAGGAGCGTCTCTGTCAGTTACACCGGATGTGTAAAAGCAAAAGTGGGCCTGAGTGGAATCTTGCCTCAGTGTGTGGCTGGTGTTCCCTGCCTGCAGCCAGACTCCACCAAGCAGCAAATATTAGCGCTAACAGCACTTGACAGGCAGCAGAAGCTACGCTCAAGTGGAAAAAATAGCAGCTCAGGAAGAAAAAAAACAAAAAAAAAAAACAAGTAAGAACCAGCTTGGAACACGCCAATGAAAGTTATCAAAGCTCACAGCAAAGCCGTACGTTGTTTGTGATGCCATGTGTGTCTGCTTATTGCCCTTTAAGCTTTTATTAAGTGATTTCCTCGAGTCGAAACATGTCGGACAATTGCAGACCTCAAAATTACAAAACACTCACAGGATGATGTGGCGGCTTTGAGTGACCATTACTCGCCATTACAAGCTTTATGGTAAGGGCAGCCGATGTAAGAGCCGGAGGTAATCGCTCGTCAAATGCAATTAAGATGCATGAGAGCATGGAGAGATGTTATCATCCAACTAAGAGCACCAGAGCGTCTCTGCAGTGACTCAAGTTCTGCGTGTAAGATACGAAGTTGACAGGAAATAAATATGGACTCGTGTTTGGGTCTTCGTTCCGAACGCAATTTGATTTTACCATTTTTTTTGTAAACGTTCTGGAAAGTGTGACAGTGAGTGCTTACAATGTTATGTTTACTAACCAAAAATATCTATGCTCGACTATTTGTTCTAACAGCCATGTATCTATCAAAAGTCTTTATCGTCATTTGTTTCTTGGAGCAAATAAAATTAAGTGACATCTGCCGTAGTCCTTTGGTCTAAATCAACTCAGACATCCACTCAGTCTATAAAAAGACTAGCCACTCAACTGAAGTTCACTGGAAACAACCTCATACTTGCTGCATAGCTGTTCTGGTTGTGCGGATAGAAAATGCTCTATTCAGGTAAAGCAGAAATTTGATATGTTGCCAACTCTGCCAACTGTAAGCGACTGAATGACTGGGGTCAATGACGTGCTTCTTTTTGTTACCCGCACTCAGGTGTCATCACTGGCAAAACACAACAGCGTAAACACATAGCTATGCAAAAGCTTTGTAACAAAGTAATGGCAGACTTGGTTACAGACTTCCAGGTATAAACCGTCCAAATGATTATTGGGTAACTCAAGATGTGAGCTCAGGGAAACTGGAGCAGGATTTGTCGCCTTACGGTAAATTCCACTTTCGTCATGGTGTTACCAAACTACCAAAGTGGATAGTTACTGTAACACCTATTTGTAAAGACCAGTGAAATGTAAAAGGGGGAAGAAAGAGAAGATCAATACTGCCCACACAAACGGTCACACCTGTACAGCAGCTTTACGAAACAGCACCTGCCATATGCTGCTCAAGGAAGAACGGAGTTGTGCAGGCAAATTTACAAGGAGCACTTCACCACAGGACATTTGCCTGGCGGAAACAGTTAGCCCAGTGATCCTGCTTCAGCTGTTTGCTATGGCTCGGGTGATGAATGAAAACATCTCACAAACTGAAAAGATTTTGCTATTCTCTATATCTCTGGTTGTTTTAGGTCATTGAGGACAATTCCATGAGAATGGCTGCTTATGGCAGTTGGAGGATTCCCTTTCATCATTTAATGAGCTAGCATTATTTGTCAGGTATTTATTGCATTGGACAAGGCTAAATTAGCTACTTCTTTCTTAATTCGGTTGTCAGTGAGGTTTCCAGATTCATTATTTGGCAGTATGTATACTGTGTGTATTCTATTATTTATTTTTCATGTAAAATTAAAACTGTATGCTGCAGAATAAATTAAAGGCCAGAGAGCAGGTACACAAAAGTTGTTTTAGTCTACTCCAGGGGTGTCCAATCCTGGTCCTCGAGGGCCACAGTCCTGCATGTTTTAGATCAGGGGTGTCCAATCCTGGTCCTCGAGGGCCACAGTCCTGCATGTTTTAGATGTTTCCCTCTTCCAACACACCTGATTCAAATAATCAGCTCATCAAGCTCTGCAGAAGCCTGATAATGATCCTGATCATTTGAATCAGGTGTGTGGGAAGAAGGAAACATCTAAAACATGCAGGACTGTGACCCTCGAAGACCAGGATTGGACACCCCTGGTCTTCTCAAACTGCCTAGTTCATCTCCAGCTACAATTAAGTGCCAAACTGATTTTCTCCCCCAAATCATGGTTAGTTATCTTCCAAAGTGCCGAGCAGGGCAGATGAAGCAACCAGCTGTCGCCACAATTTGCCAAACCTGTCTGGTGACTAGTGCTTAGTTCCCACCCTTAGTGTAAGCTTACCTCCGTTTCCTCCTCCTCCGGCGGAGTTGGCAGAGCCAGGCCGGCTGCTCTGCTGCGGCTCCGACTGTGAAAACTGGGGCGCCAGCACCGAGCCTCGGCTCCGCTGAGCGCTGTTCTGGTTGGCTGCTGTGTCAGGTGTGCGGGGAATCTTGGGCTGGCTGGCAAATTCAGGGATGTAATCACCACTGATGACAAGAGGAAGCAGAGGAAAAAATAAAGGAGACTATGAAAATCGATACCACTAAAGAAACACCAGGGTAGTAAAAGGTGCTACGAAAACAAACAACACAAGCTTAAAAATAAAAGTGCAGCATAGTTGAACAGTCACACTGATACAGATCATCTACATAACTAACATTCAGGCTACACTGACTACAATAGCCTTTTGAGGCATAACAAAAACCGTCCTTCATTACAGCGACCCTCATTTGTTACTTGGCTCATGGTTGGAAGAATCATTCAGTGGGAGGTCATCTTTTTATCTGACAAACCCTTCAGTTGTCACGACATGCTACAGCCATGAACAGATCTAATTTCACAAGGGTTTTATAGGCAAACAAATCACGGCTGCCCTCTACAAGATCAACCTTCCACAAGCGTCTTGCCCTCGACATTCAATAGCATCCGTGTCACTCCATACCCTTCATTTATGGTAACAGGACGCCGGACTACACTATCGATACTCTCAAGATTGACAAGTTTCTACAGTTTTCAGTGGTTCTCCTTGTACGGGTAATGGTTGGTATCATTTAAACACAGCTTGGAAATTCACGAAGGGCAAGAGCTTAGACTTGACACAAGTACGTTCAGCTTAAATCTTCATCAGTGTATCATTATCTTCTCTAATTAATTTCTGTTTAACCTCCACACACTTGGTAAGAATCAATTTTGTTCTTAGGACTATAATCAGCATGAATAAGAAAAAAGAAAACAGCACTTCACTGTTTTAAGTCCCACTGTGAAATTATGCATAAAAGTACTAGTATACATAAAGACATAGTGTTAAAATCTATTCAAGCAGAGCGTTTCACACATTATAGTAACACTAGAACGCATTTCCACGTGATAGTTGCATCCTTCTATGCGTGTGAAAAGGTTTAATTTATATCAGCTGATAAACTAGTTCGCATTTATTGTGTTGCTGCAACCACGGCGATGGAAATTTGTAGTCATGTCTCTGTGAGCCAAAGAAACAGAATCACAATGAATAAATAGCTCCTCTGCTTCCAGCCACATTGATAGTCAAAACTCTGCTAATGTCCTTATCAGGCAGGAGCCAAATGACCTACATCCTGTGGAGCAACTCTATGCCATATCAAATGGATGGATTTCAGTCTTGTTTCTGCTCAGGGTAGCCACATTGGCTCCAAAACTCCCTGATATCATCTGGGTATAACTGGCTGTTACAAACCATGATGGTGTTTCTGTGAACATAGGCGGAGGCAAACTCAGCAGCAACAGTAGGGGCAGGGTGTCAAGAATGTAGTCTTCAAACGCTGATGTCTTAATAAATGTCTGAATGGAAAACAGCCCCCCAGGTGTCACCTTGTGTGAGTCTGAAGCAGAAAAATGTGTTCATTAGCCTGAAAACAATTGTCAAAAAATATAGATCTCTTCATCTGACGTTTGCCAAACTGCTGCGTTGCTAAGATTCTATTCACCTCGATATGAAAGCCCATTTCATCTCACTAGAAAAGTTGTCGTCCAAACTGGGGTGAAATGAGGCTACCAAAGTCAGACTCAGCCAGGTTTGTATTGTGGAGGTGTTTTACGTTCCTGGGGGAGAGCGGGGGGAGGGGGAGGGACAAGTGAAGCAGTTTCCTGGGACTCATTACTGTTGGCGGGATTCAGGAGTCAAGTTCCTCTGGGATTTAAAGGAGAGGAGAAGCAGGGGAGGTTTGATTGAATGGGTCTCTTTGTGGGCACTGCTCGTTTAAACGCATGTCACAGTCTCACAGACCAGCTTGGCAGTGCTGAGTCACCCATCGGTGTCCAGCAACACTCCTGCCAACTCTCTCCACAGACACACACACACACACCCATGCCGACACACATCTCTGGACTTTGCAGTTATGCTGTTTATTTTTATTTGCATTGCTCCTTAACAACCGCAACTTTGATCCAGTTCCTGACTAAATCAAGCAGCAGCTACCGCGGTCTGAGGCTGGAGCCGGCGTGGAAGTACATTAAACTGCAATACCACCCACACAAGTTAGACGACTGCTCCAAAACAAACAATGCTCCAGACCCATTCAAAAAGTGTCCCTTTGTCCTCTATAGAAATACTGCATGAAAGTTTTATTTTATTTTTTTAACATGTCATCATAGACTCCACATTTAAAGTCGTTGTTGTTTTTTGACTTCTTTTTTTTTTTGTCTTATTTGTACAAAGTCTGACAATCAAACTTTGGCCAACTCATTTTCTTCATGCTGTTTAGACATGTATGTTCGTGATTTTTGAAGTTATAACTTGATTTTTATTTTTCTATGTTATCTAACGTTTTATGAAATAACCCTATAAATCTTGGATTGTGTATGTTTGCTGAGAGCTTGACGGTCCAGATATTTGTCGCATCCTCTCATTTTCTTATCCCACTTTTCACCCTGACTGCACTGATTCCGATAGACTGTTTGCTACAGAGTGGAGCAAAGGGAGAGGAAAACATATGGCGCTGCTGAGGAATGGCTCAGATTGATTTCACGCTGGCCTTACACCACGACCATCAATAGGCTTGCCCACTCGCTTCTGCTGAGCACTGAACTGAAAATCTGCGTTTAGAACACACCGCTTTCAGGACGGGCTGTATATATAGCCGCTGTACCGTAACTTATCGTCCAACTTCTTTCAGCAAATGAAAGCAACTGAACCAGCCTGGGGTTAACATAAGCATTCTCTGCTGTTCAGAAGTGTCCAAGCCTTTCTTGCCACAGCACTCTCACAGCAGCGGATCCCCTTCCAGCTGCTATGCCTATTGAAACACACATCTGCTGGAGGAGTTCTGTATTGTATATCTAACATTATGTGTAGGAGGCATCGAACTGAAATGCACTATTAATGCATGAAACATGGGGATATATTTCATTGAAGTTGAAGAACTTCCCTTCTCCATGTGCCACTGCAGAGCCCTTCAGAGCAGGCGAATGGCTGACATAGAAGGATTGTCAGCTGGTCTAGTTCATCGAGGTCTCACAGGATATAAAAGCTGGCCTTTGTGTCCTCCGTCTTTCCCTTCCTAGAGCTGACATATACTGAATTAATCCAAACATTAGCCTTGCATTAATTTTTGTCTTTGCGCTACTTTTTTCGTTAAGTTTTCATCCATTCTCGTTTTAATTGTCTAATTAAGTTCGGCAACCCCTTTGTGATTGTGATTGTGTGTGAGGTCTCAAACTACATCTGTGTAATAAAACACATGAACTTGACAAACTCGTCAGAGAATTTTCTGATTTAACCACTAAATTAAAGCAACTATAATGAAAACGCACATTATTTAGTGTGTGTGTGTGTAGTGTGCGTGTCAGTTTACCTGGAAGAGTGTCCATTGTGTTCCTCCTGGGAACGACCTTTCCTGGCTCTGCCTTCATATGGCCGCTCCAACTCCGACTCCTGGGACAGCCGCCCACACTCCGAGTCTGAATGTGTGTGTGTGTGTGAGACAGAGAGCGAGGTAAGAGATTCATGACGCTAATGTTGGAATTACACCAAAATGTCTGGCATTAAATTTAAATTAAAGTCAAAATAACACAAACAAAAACAACTATGTAACAGTACGGTTACACACTTTGTCACAAACACGTGAGCACGACTTGGTGCCAAGCAAACAGCACTTTTGTGGGAAGCCAGAATTGGTCATTAATCATTTGGTGTTCATTTTGCCAAGTCTTTATTCCTTATGCTTTCTGAGGAAGTTGCTGGGTCTTCCTTGTCTGGAAGCGCCTTGTGTCGTGTTGACACCGGGCAGCACATCAAACAGATCAATAGAAGCCAAATAAAGGACAGCCGGTGGAAGGGAAATTAAATTGTTCCACTTTAAAGCAGCTGATTTTCAATCGGCACAGAATGTATTAAGTATGAGAAATCTGAATGCAAATATTTACTAGTAAATTATTGTTGACAAACATTAGGGAGGTAAATGATAGCCACCCACCGATGCTGTGACGTAGGGAGTCGGCAGTACTGGGGCGACTGCCAGAGCGTGTCGGAGGTCGGGAGTTGTATCGGGAAGGAGGTAGGCTTCCTTCCTCACTCTTCTGTCTGCTCAGAGGGTATTCCCTGTCCCTGCTACTCTCACCTCCTTCAGTGTTGGCGCGATACTCCCTAGGCAAACACAAACAATACATCTCCGATTTCTCAGTAAGAACTTCCTTGAGAATGTTGATATTGGTAAAAAGTATATATATATTATCTGAATGGTTTTACTGAATCTCATCAGGGTGTTTTTTATGGTTGAACAATACTCTTTCATTTTATATTAAATTTGTTATATCAACAAAAGCTAGCATCACTATTTTCTGCAGTTAGTTGATCATAAAAACCAAATAACAGTTACTTGCTGGGAGTCTCGTATTTCCAGATCCTGTGTTGGACACCTTAAAGCTGTCATATTCATTACTAAAATAGTCCTCCTTCTTTTATCCCTGCTGTCTAGCTTACAGTTTTCATTGACAATGGTCTACTTTCAGCACTAAGTGATTCCATTTCCAGTCTACTCATCATGGCTCCTTCTTTTACAAATCAGGCTTTGTGATGATTAATCGCAAAATGTTTTTGAACCCATTCTTGCGTTGACCTACTGAACTAGTTCTAATGTCTGTAGACGGCTGTATCCATGAGGATAAACAAAGGGGGCAGCATAATCATTGTCAAAATGACCTATAGGTCAGACTACGAGCTATTTGTGCTGCTGTAAACTGATCAGCCTTGAGAGAAAAGAGGCCAGTTAGCAGGTGTCTTTAACTAAATATAGATTACAAAGCATTTGGAAATGACTGTACAGGAGTTTGCATGTTCTCCCCGTGCAGCGTGGGTTCTCTTCGGGTTCTCCGGCTTCCTTCCACAGTCCAAAAACATGTTGAGGTTAATTGGTGATTCTAAATTGTCTGTAGGTGTGAATGTGAGTGTGCTTGGTTGTCTGTCTCTAAGTGTAGCCCTGTGATAGACTGGTGACCTGTCCAGAGTGTCACCTGCCTTCGCCCTGAGTCAGCTGGGATAGACTCCAGCCCCTCGTGACCCTAATGAGGATTAAGCGGTGTATAGATAATGGATGGATGGATGGATGGATGGATGCCAACTGTACAAATGCATAACACAAGAAAAAAAAAAAAGACAAACTAAACTATGTCTTGCACACTTCCTTTGACAATGACACCATAAGTGTGGCAGCGAGTGAACTCTAACTTCATGACACTGTGTGTGAATGTAACTTACCCTGCGCTGACATTACGATGAGAACTCGGGGTGACTGGCCGTTGTAGGGGCTCGTCAACACTTGGCTGTGGCAGAGGGGTTGACTTTCTCTTCACTTTTGCCATGTTGGTCATAATCTACACAAGCACGCACAAGATAAGTAGAATGTAGCACCAGCCTTGAGATCGCAGTAACTCTCATATAAAATAGGGCTGGTGACTGGCAAGAAACTAACAGGTCAGCACAGAATAACTGTTTTGCCCCTTTCAGACATAGGGATGTTAAAGTAGCCCTATGGCTTAACAAAAGTCTTGGTCAGAGTAAATACGACACCATTAATGGTGGGCTCCAGTGATGTACGGAACCATTTTCTTATTCACATCTATGATCCTTGCAATCAATTCAAACCTACTGGATAAGACACAAGTAGAAATTCTGTAGCTACCCACTAAATTACTTTCAGTGGACAAGTGCCACATGGTGACATCAGTTTGAATGTGTTGACTTCCAATCTGTGATGTGTAGATGCTGATGTTCTTCAAACTTTTTTCAGTGCAGGGACCTGTGTCATGATAGTGACCACTTTAGCTTGCCTCTTTATACTCAAAGGGACACAGAGACAGAGATATGTGCTGGATCTTATTGAACCATTTTCCACTCCAGATATACAACCTTGCAATGCTCTAGGGGCTCAAATGGAGTGTCTAATGTCCCTACACACACACACACACAGCAGTGCAAACATTCTCAGTTCTCTTTGTCTCAACCATTGTTTCCTTTTGTGGTTGCACGTTGAACTGGCTAGAGTTCTACAGCAGCAGACACAATAATCCGACTACAACAATAAGTAGCGAGCAGTGACCCTGTCTGCAGCGCAAACTAACAGCCTTACTGTGAGGAGCTGATGCTGAGATATGAACTTGGTGTCTGCCCAGCTTCCAGCAGCAGGTTTTTGTTTCAGTGTGTTTTGCTTACTCCCAGGTACTCGGTGGTGAGCAGACATTCTCCAGCCAGTTCCCTGTGCTGTGGTTGGAGGACTTCCTCTTTGTCAAGGTCCGTCTCCATTAAATCTTCCTGTCACATGATAATGATAACACATCAGGTAAAATGAGACAATTTGTGATGGACATAAAGTGTGCTTGATAGAAATCTGAACCATAGTGTAACTGTAATCTGACCAATTCCCCAAAAGAAAAAAACACAAACAAACAAAAACATCATAGTGTCCAGTGTCAGCACTGCTTAATTTCCTCGTACACTGCAATGACAATAAAGGAAGTCTATTTTATTTATTCTATTCAAATGGCCTAGACTTGGTGACGGCACGCATTCAAATAACAAAGTCAACACAGCTGTGACATTAAGACCTCTGCCTTGTTTCTGCAACTTTTATAAAAAAAATTCTTTCAACACAAAAAAACACCATTATATAAAGACTTTTGGGATGTGCTGCTTGCTGTGACTGGTTACTTTTGGTTATTTTCTCAGACATAGTGAAAATGTACTCGTTCCCATTAAACACTGACGTGAGCATACAAATAGGTTAAACGCTTATATGGCGCTTGGCACCAGTTCACAAGGTTCTGAAACGAGACCAGGGTAGGCTGCACGTTTGGGACTCACTCTCAGCAGTGGGGAACATACTGTATATCAGCTCACCATTATCGGCGTGGTAAATGGATATCAGCTACAAAAAAACTCAAAGATCACAGGCAATGGAACAAGGGCACCCACACTCAAGGAATTGTTGAGGAGAATAGGGTACACACATGCTGTACACATACACACACACACACACATACACCTCGGAGACTCCAGTCATTCACACTTGAACTTACCACCATAGACCTTATCTTGATAACCCACTTTCCCACAAAATATAATATTTCAAGCCCATCACCCCCTTAAAGGCGCACATGCAAAACACACAGGTGAGAGACACCCAATATTTGTGTCATGGTGAGATTGCCATCTGCAGGTTTGCTAAAGGTGTCATATATATATATAGTGTTCTTTTTTGGTCACCCTTCCTCTCACTGTCATTTTCTATCTTTGTTTTTTTTCTGTTTATCTGTGTTGATTCACATATTCCTGCAGCTACGTTGAATAAATGTGGAGATGGGTATAATATAATATGATGATGGAAAATATCAGTATTTATATATTTATTGAATTTCCCTTCTGGGATAAATAAAGTATTTTTCATTTCAGTATATCAACGTCTAACGGGTTGAGAGGGAGCCTTACGTCATTGTCGTCCTCTTCCTCTTCGTCATCCGACTCTGGCCCCTCCTCCTCAGCTGAGTGGAAGACAGCACAAGGATTAAAAAGCCGAAAGAAGCCTCTTGAATGAGAGGTGCAACATTTTCAAAAAACGCAAAGAGGGATCCAGATGCCTTTTATATGAAGCTGTTAAAAAGTCAGCACATTTCCCCCAAATCACCATGCTTTATAAGAAAAGGTACTGTACTTCTGTAATCCAGTATGCAATATAATTAGAAAGGCACATCTAATGCCTGAACATATGCAGTCTAGTAATCTGACTTACTGTAACACCTATCCCAAAACAGATAAATGGTGTTAACACATGAGAAACACCCGCAAAATACATGGTTATCTATATGTTTTTTAAAATTTATTTTAAGTCCAGCACTTAGTCTTGGATTGCCATCTTTATATGGTAACAGAAAATTCGTCTTCACTAACCTGAGTTTAGCTGTTTAATGATGAACTCAAACTGTCTGTTGAGGTCCGGGTTCTCCTCTTTGCTGTAGCAGCGGAGAATCTCCTCGACACTCTGCACACATGAGGGAAACACATTCACACCAGGGTACAGCTCAACGGCGAAGATAAACACAGTTACATGTAAAAAGGAAGTGAAGCTATATTTGGAGGAGGTCAGTAGTCCAAACTTTGAGACATGCTGGTAAAATGATTTAAATAAAATAAAGTAGAGGATGCTAGTGTCGGGGATATATGGTGAAATGCATATTCAGCTACATCAATACTGTCCATTGACTCCACATGTTATGGTATGAACGGACTGATACATTTCTATTTCCAGTGTGTATGAGACACAAACGCGGCCCAGGGGTTCGTCTGTGTACGGAGTTTGTGTGTCTTATGACAGAACACCTGTTGTTTCCCCTCCAAACACTGGGTGCGTGCTGATGCAAAGGAAGACAAATGCAGAGCACAACACAAACTGCGTCTGTTTCCTCCGAGCAGGTGAAGACATTTCTGCTATCTCACCATCTCTTTGGCTTCCTGTCGCACGGAGGGAATACACAGGATACTGTAGAGGGCTCCATTCACATATGGTCGGATCTGAGGAAGGCAAAGCGACACAGGCGCACACACGGCCTCTATCTTCAGGATCTCAAATCAAACGGTAACAGCTTGTAAGAACATGCAGCAGTTAAGAAATGTGGACACAAAGAAGAAAGAATGTTTATACACTGGATGTAAATATATGTTTGCATTAGACCTATAGTATGTCACAGACAAAAAAACAATAGCGAGGAAACAATAGAAGCAGAAGTTGTAGCCAACTCTTGATAAAAACGAAGTCAGACTCTATGGTTTAAACACTGATCCGTAATAGTTTATTTCTGTCAAGACTGTTGAATATTCAGGAAAGATTTACTTATCTGTACAATATCATCTGAGCAATATCTTGGACAACGCTGCTAAATACTTAAGGTGCAATATTTCATATATATATTTTCAACACTGTTGTTTTTATTCTGTTTTATATACTGTTATTGTTTACCATGCACTATTATTTTTATATTGTTTATATTCAGCTCTTTTTTTTTTCTTTTTTTTTTTACCTTGCACTACTTATATATATCTATACATATAGATATATTTATAGTTATAGCTTGCAGTACTTATTAACAAGTTACTGCCTCACAAGTTTCATTTCTGTGTACTCCGGTAGCCAAGCAACGACATTTCGTTGCCAGATTCACGATTGTGCTTGTGTGCAATGACAATAAAGAAAGTCTAACTTAGCTTTATGATAAACCTGGATGTATCTGCTTGAGTTACTTTGGTATCAACATTTATATCAACAGATCAACCAGGAGTGAAGCTGTATTCATGTAATCATCAATAGACAAAGGTGTGTTGTCCACGTTAGTGTTCAGATTGAAGTTTCAGTTTAGCACTTAGAAATGTTGCCCACTGTCTTTTGTGGTGTTCTTTTTCTTTTTTTGAGACAAGAAGATTTTGTTCCCTATATCCTGTATTAATAATTTGTTGTTTTCTGAATGTGTCCCTCTACCGCATTTGTCAGTATGTATTTCAACCTATATGAATGTGTTTTGTGAGCACATTACATGCACTGTGCATATAACATTTGTGTCCATGTGTTGCTGACAGAGTGTGTCACCTCGTGGTTCTCATGTCCGAGGAGGTCAGTCAGGACCTTTAGCACATGCTTGGCGTTCTCTGCACACTTCCTTTTTCCTGTACAAAGACAAACACACACACACAGACTTAAATTCAGCAACACAAAAGTCCCTTTTTTGTTTGTTTTAATTTATCACTCAGATTAGTGATTATTGGTTCCCCCCCAGCCCTGTCATTCTGTTTACTCTTCCTTTGATTTTATCTTCTTGTGTTTCAAATAATACAACTATTGATAAATCAAACAATATTTTACTGTGATATTCTATAAAAAGCAGACCTCAGGCAAAAATAAAGGCGGTCCTGAGAAAGACAGAGTGCATCATTGAGCACTGTGTATGTGCACTGAAGGGGGCTGGCAAAGATCTACTCTAGATATGACGATACACACTGTGCTCAGAAGAGGCTGTAGAAGATAAAAATTTTGTATTGAAGGCCAACCCAAAAAGTAATTGCCCTCAGTCTATCCATAATGAAATCATCCAAGAGGAACAAAGTTAGACAGAGAGCCTATTTGTCTTTAGAAGAGATAGCATTGATTTGCATGACATCATGAACTAATAAGAAGCTCAGATTTTCTTCCATGAGAGACATCCCATCTGGGTTGAAAACATTCCAGTATAAAGCGTTGTATGTTGAGTTACTTGTTTAAAGGAAGAATTTAACATTTTTGAAAGTTATTCACTGGTGTAGAGTTATGCAAGAAGACCAATACTGTTCTCCTGTAAATATAAGGCTACTATAGCCAATAGCTGTTCAGCGTAGGGCAAAGACTGGAAACACAGAAACAGCTCTCCAGACCATGTGCAATGGGAACGATGTCAGCGAATCAGCACCTCCAAAGATCACCAATTAACATGTCATCACATTCGTTTATGGGTGGTTATGTGATGACATATTTCTTGGTTTTGGCCAGTGGCTTTCATAAGTCTCTGCTGTTTTTTTTTTCCAGTGATCAGTGTGAACACACCCACCTTAAACGTACTCTGATTCAGTGTTGTGACACAATAAAACATCCAGGAGGAAGGGCAGGAGGGGGTTTAAAGGGGCATCCTACCATTTCTTGTGTGTTTGACTTCTATATCTGCTTGTGCTTTGCTTACCTTTTGTTCGCAGACATAGGTTCATAAGCAGAGCCGCAGAGTACTCCAGAGTGTTGTCACTGAGGCAGTCTGAGTCCTGCAGTTCATCCACCAGCCAGCCAATCAGATCATCTGCGATCATGGCTGTCTGCTGGCTTCTCCTAAGAAGACACGTTCATAAACGTTAGATTAAAAGCACTTGTTTCATGCATTAAAATGTCAGTGGCATAATGTGAAAATGGGAACATCTGTTCTTAGACTGATTTTGGTGGTGTAAAAAACAACCATACTCAACTGAAAACATGTAAAAACAACTTTTCATTGATGTCAACTTGCATAGGTTGCCTTAAAGCTGGCTCCTAGAGGGTAACATTGTGGTGATAAGTGGCTCTTCACTACATAAATGTGTGTGTAATCTGGTTTATAAACATGCTATATAGTTTAGGCTTTGACATCGGCTACGGTTGATGACTCTCAGGAAAATCCAAAAGTAAAGATTAATAAAAACCCTGGTGATTTTGAAAGTCACCTGAGGCTGAGTTTCTGCAGAGCCACAAGAACATTTTCTCTCGTCAGGGACTCTTTATCCTCCTTCCTGAGCACCTCCGTCAGACGTTTCAAAAGAATGGGAATGTGGGAGAGGTAAACGCGACCTGTAAGCATCAACACAACATGGCAAAAAATAAATCAAAGAGGACAACAGGCATTTTAATATTGCTCTGGGTAACATTGTACACACACAACATAAACTTACACTTGTGTTCTTTAAGCTATAAATAGTGGCTTTAAAAAGAAAAACACGTTTTCCAACTAATTTTAGGTACAACTCGTGATTTTAGGTGCATTTGCGAGGACAATACAATACAACAGAATTATGAACTGTATCTCCTCAACAAAACCAAAACTGAACCTATAATTGATGAAATATTTAATCTCAGTCCCTACCTGTGACTGAAAGGAGCACAACATGTATCAGCATCACATTGCAAAATGTTCAAACTATACCTCCGCTTACATTTTTCCTTATTGTTGAGAATGAAGTAATTCCTGTCTTATAAAATTATCTTTCCACAATGGTTTACAAAATAACAGTAAAGTATTTGTGTTTGTCTTCACGTTACTGTCCCTGTATAATCTGCTCTCCGTAGTCACAGGCGTACCAATGTGCAGCATCATTAGTGGTTTTATTCCTGAAAGAAAAGCCACTAAAAAGCCATTCTCTCAATCTATCCTCTCAAGTGCATCCACACAGACAATGACTCATCTTCCAGAGAAATAATGATGCTTGGACATATCTAATGGCTTTTGAGAACTCACCCTCTGCAAGGGAAGCGAACGCATTGATGAGACGAGCCATGTACTGGCGGACGATGTCGTTTGTTGATCTCAGTAAATGAAGCACGGTTTTCTGCGAAAGAAAGCAAAATGTAGGGCACATTAAAATTGGATCGGCTGTTTTCGGGTACAGTGGGTTTTGAACTATCCACAGATGCTCCCAAACTGAAATGGTTTCTACAGATCATTTGAATAATGCAGTGTCTGACGGGCGGAGGAGAGATTATCAAAACACATGCGCTGTTAAAATGATGTATGTTAAATAGCTAAGCAACGTATGTGGCTGCAAATAGCCAATGTTGTCTGTTAGGTAAATGTAGATATATGGGTTAGTTTATGACCATGCAGCAGTACCTTCGCAGCTACTTCATATAGAAACAGAAGTACACAGATGAAACCTTGAATAAATATTGCTAACTTCCAGTTAATCCATTTTTTTACAACACTGAAACTAGCAGAAATTTCAAAACCTTTGGTTGGAAAGGTGACTGTGTTACTAATGGAACACTTTTCAGTAGCTGTTGAATTACTGCTGGATAACTGTTGTGTTTTTCATTGTTGTCACCTTAACGACTGTGGGCTTTATGTGCATGTTTACTAGATTTACTATTTATCCTGAATTGAGGAAAACAAGAACAAGCCCAAGTTTCTTTTCAGCGCTGTAGCCAGGCTGACAAAGTGCCACAGCACTGTGGAGCCTTGTGTTCCTTCAGCTCTCAGCAGTGAAGACTTCATGACCTTCTTCACTGATAAAGTTTTGAGTATTAGACAAAAAAAATATTAGCATGTCTGTAGGTGCAGAAGCTCTGGATGCATCCGTAGGACCAGCCTTATACTTGGACTGCTTCTCTGCTGTAAATCTCTCAGAGCTCATGTCAGTAAATTCTTCTAAACCAGCGACATGTCTGTTAGACTCAATCCCAACTAGACTGTTCAAGGAAATCTTTCCTCCAATAAATACTGCAGTATAAAATATTTTCAGCTTCTCTATATTGACAGGCTACGTACCTCAGGATTTTAAAGCAGCTATCATAAAACCACTACTTAAAAAGCCTTCTCTCGATCCAGGCGTTTTAGCAAACTATAGGCCCACATCCAACCTCCCTTTTAGTTCTAAAATTCTTGAAAAAGTTGTTGCAAGCCAATTGTGTGATTATCTGCATAGAAATGGTTTGTCTGTTGATCCTTCACAGGTGATACTTAGCCTACTCAGTGTAACTAATTAGCTAGTCTCTGTTTTTAGAAATCCTGTCTCCCTGCTGTTCCAGCACCTTCAAAACAAAGGCAAGACGTCCGGGTAGAAGCACCACAAAGCCGATTGGCACGCTGAGAAAACTCACACATTGTCGTTTATGCTTTTTTTCCCCCCATTGTCAAACAAAGAGTATTTATGTTTTTGATTTCATTACAAGAAACTGACACCATCCTCCTATTATTGTGTCTCTTCACAGTAAACGACCTCAGAGTTGTTTACAGGTGGCTCGGAGCACTGTCGAGGCAAGCGTACAGACAAATGAAACCAGCTGTGAGGAGATCGTTTTCTCTCTTGTATAAAGCTTGTCTATAGCATAGAGCCTGCAGCTAAAGGTGAAGACGAAGAAGAACAAGAAGAAAAGAAAAAAACTATAAATTGCGTAAAACAGCCTCTTGAGAGGGTAAAGTTTGGAATACAATCTGAGTTTCCTGTCCTGGCCTTTGTTGTGAAGAAACTAGAAATTGCTGAAGACTGTTACTTAATCTGAGCAATGAGGGAGCATTTCATAAACCGCCTACAGTCAGATTAAAATGAAATTATCAAAATAAATCAGCTTATGTACTTACATAGACAAGATTTTGACAAATTATGCTTAATTTCACAACAACTGTCAAAGACAATAAGAGTTGTGTTATTCTAATTATACAGTATATGACATAATTATAGCATGTTCCACCTATTTGTCCAATCAGCCTTTTTCAGTTCATTGTGATTTAAGAATTAGTGAGCGGAATGCTTCAAAATGATCAGAAATTATTGTCTGTTTAATTCAGGGCTCAGTTACAGACCGGGTCAGTACGTCACACACATACACATGGACAGGACAGACACACAACAACACACATATACAGGCACGAACAGAAGTGTCCATCCACTAAAGACGCGTATCATGACATGACAGGTTTAGGTTTTCAGTGACTCCTATAACCCTGAATTTTCTATGATGAAATCATTGAAACACAAAAAACAATCATATTTGAACATCATTATCTGCCACATACAGCTAACTTATGCTTTCTCAGATCCTGGGAGAACAAGAACCGATCCATTGACAAGACACACCAAAATGAAGACCTGAAAAATCAGGGCTAAATATCACAGTGTTCTTTTAACGAGAAGAACCTCCAAAATCATCAACAGCTTCATTCCACAAGCTGTCAGAATGCTGAAGTGCTGATCAAGATATGCAAACACTTGTTTATTTAAATTGCTTTAGGTTATTGGATTCTGAAGAAACGCTCTCCCATCTTGCCTGTACGACTGTGTATATACAGCAAAATGACAATAAACTTGATTTGATTTGATTTAACCTACAAAAGACTTTGTGCATTTTGAACCAGAGTAACCTCAGGTTTCTGTAATTAACTGAAAATAATTTGCTTTTGCCATCTAAATGGGACACACCTAGCTCATTGTTTACTCTCAGCTTCATTGAGCATATTGATAGACCAATGATAATAATTAGACAACAGCCAGACACTAATAGGGATCGGATGTGGATTACGAAACATAAAAGCTTCTGAGATACTGTGTTCACTTTGGCAACAGCCGATGCTCTTTACCCACTTTGCAGCATTAGGGAAACAGTGTGAAAAAAACACTGTTTGCACTTGGCAGAGGGGCCAATTCATCCACGAAGACCTGCCCTAATATACAGCCTTGGGATTAATTAGGCAGTTTTTACTTTGGCTATTATAGTTGAGAGAACTATGGGTTAGTTTAAAAACAAAATTACTGTCATCACAATTCATATTCATAGTCATTTCGGTATCGTCTACCTCAACAAGTGCTTTGTAGTGTTAATACAGAACGCAGTATAATTACAGTCACAGCTACACCCCCACCTGTTTCGTACTGTAGCGCTCCAGCAGATCATTGCTGATGTAGGCCTGCAGCACGGTGTCTCTCTGTTCACCAGGGAGTGAGCGAGTCAGTCTCTAAAAAACATTTGAGACAGATCCAACAATTAGAAATTAAAAGCCTGTGTGAATATAAACTGCATGGTTCCTTTTCGTCCTGCTCCCAAATTACTGTACATATAAATACGCCCCAAAACAAAACCTCATTGTTATTCTCATCACAAAGCGACTGCAACACAGAAGATTGTGTAAAACATGGCTTTTCTTAGCTGCTATTAAAATGTAAGGAAGTAGCCTTTCTTTAACAAGGGTACAGTCCCAATAGATGTCATACTATAGTGCTTTGAAGACCACAAAGGCTTGTTGAAAACTGCTTGGCTCTTAGTATCCGCAATGCAGTTATCCTGTAATGCTTATTTAGGAGGTCAGATGCTCTGATACGAATGTAAGATTATACTTTAATCAGCTCTCACTGGGAGCTGGCTTACTTTAGTTGCGGATAATGGCAAACAAAGGAAAATAAAACATGCAAGGGCTGAAGTTAAAGACAAAAACTACCATGAAAAAGTGCATTTGAGTCAATCGGGATCACACAAAATATGACATACGACACCAGTAAGGGGATATAATATTCTCACCCAGCGCAGAGCCTGAAGCAGCAGAGACTTGAGTCTATCAGCACCTTCAAGCAGGTCTTTCTTCAGCTTCTCGTAGTCTAATGAGGGCAACATTGGTACGTCCTTAGGTCTTCTAGAGATCAATAAAAAAATGAAATGTCAGCTCTGTTTTATCGTGCCAATAGCGGCTAAGAATAAGTGAAAAGCTTCTTCGAATTTAAGACCTACTGTGGTGCAATGGATGCTCGCAGCATAGAAGAGGCCTACAACAAAAGGCACAATCAAGAAAAGAAGACGATGAGGACTAGAGTATATCTTACAGATTATTTCAGACGACATTTACCACATTTTCACTTTGAGCTGTACAAAACATAACCCATGCAACTGTTTAATATTTCATCATTCCTTTTATCGTATTTAGTGGCATTCTTCCCTACTTCCTCCATCTATGACCTTTAAGTTAACTACTGTCTCATAAGTCATTATTGGTCTCTTAGTCATGCATTCATCATGCGTTTATTTACATGCTGACCTCTGGGACATACAGGACGGTACGGTTTGGCAATATCTCCCCATGCAGTAAACAACAAGTAGAACCGGTACCAGAAAAAGCGGGTTAGTATCTCTGCATTTGTTACACCTCAGTGCACCTCTACTACACCAGTAATGTACGTTGTTATTTGAGACAAAAGGAAATAGAAGCCTCTGAACAGAGAAACACATCACTGAGGTCGTCGTGTTGTGTGTATGTGTGTGTGTGTGTGCAGAGGAAAACTTATTATGAGGGTTTTTTAATCACTGAAAGGGGGATTTTGAGCTCTGAAATCCAATCTGAAACTGGGGAGGCGGTTGGACCTATAGAGGGGGCAGCATGAGGTCGGGGGAGTGATCCGTGTCGTCTGAGGTATCGGTTGGTCTCGCCACATATTTGCTTTGGTGTGCAGCAGGGAATAGGCACAAACAGGGGAACAGTGATACCTGGATTCTTTCCCAAATTCCCTTTCTCTGTAAACATTTGTTTCCCTGAAGATTGGTAAAGGACAAGAGGACATGTTTTCCTGTGACATTTGACACTAGAGGGCTTTACGAAGAGCGACACCCCACTAAGGATTAGCACACATACACTGTTTATTACAGGAAGGCAGTAGTTATAAAAAAAATAAGTAGTTTGTGCAGCAATGGCAGACGATTATTATTCTTATTTTCTTTTTAAACTAAACTAAAAGGCGACATTTATTCTCAGATTTCAGCTGAGCACCTACACAAAGCGAAGGCTTGACCCGAATTCCCTGACAATAAACAGTTTACATAAGGAATGTCTTTACTCTTTTTATCTCTTTAGTGTGTCAACTGTAGACCACCTATTGTTGATATTATTGTCTAACTAGGCGGCTCTACTCCCTGGTTTCATCCAGCTTTTCCCCGTGGATCAAGATAAGTCATTGTGGAGTAGCATAAAGGGCATGAAGAGTCTGACACATACGGTTAGCTATGGTGTTATGTTGTGATGAGTGAAAGGTTGCTCGCCTGTGTGAGGACAAATATGGTCCTGATTAATATTTTATCCAAGTCACCAGAATATTGGCCATTGTTTAGCAGCTCTTGGCAATCAGAGAATTAACTATTAACCACCATTAATATGCCGGTAAATTCCGCTGCGGGTGTTCGTTTTTTATTATTTGCAGCTTTTCCTCATACATCAGTTAAAGACGAAGCCTGCTTTTCTATGCAAATTGTCTAAATTAAAGCTATTAAACAGTACTATATGTTCAGCCTGAGTACTTGCTATTGATGGTGTTGAGAACCCTCACAATTATATGAAGTGTTTTGGTTGCTTCTTTTCACACGACTGTAATTTAATCCACCGTGTTCGAGCGTGAGAGAAATGCTGGTTGTTCTCGTCCTGTCGTGGTGTCTGGCTAAATTCCTTCAAAAACTATACCATTAAACATAAGGGGAGAGAACTGAAACTGACTAACTGTAAAAATACAGACAGTCAATAAGGAGAATCGAGCGGCAGAACTATGACTGAGGTCTTTGGGAACAAGTGAGTTTAATAATGAGTTATACCCTGAAAGACGCTCTTGTTCAGTTTAATAAGTGGCCGAACAACAGAGGTCATTATACTACAAGTGAACATCCTTTTAAAAGAGGACAATCGAGTAGGAACTAGAGAAAAGGGGCTGGGATAATAGACTGAAAACAATATCAGGCAGAGAAATGCGTATATGTTGGGGTGGGGGGACATAAAAGCAATGTGAGGAGGAGGAGGAGGAGGAGGAGGAGGAGGAGGAGACGAGGCGAGGCACAAGCAAGATGAGAAGAGGGGGGGAAGTAAAGATGAAAACATATGAAACTTACATAGCCATCATCATAGGGACTCATAGAGTAATATCCCTTTGTGGACAAAAAGCACCACACAAGCAAAAAAACACAGACACACAAGAAAAAAGTTGTTCAGTTCAAAACAGAAAGAAACAAGATTTCACAGGCCAGAGTTGAACACCACAATGAAGGCCACTGACGGCGAGCATGATTGTCAAGCTGTGGACAGTTTAGCGTATTTCTACAGTCTTTTGATTGTCGGCGCCACAGAGTAGCAGTGATCAAACAGTGGCAACAAGGACAGGAAGTTTTTAACCAATTAACCATAAGGATTACTTTTCTTGTAATCATAATCATCTGAGTTACATTTCAAAGGTGCTTGATTGTGTGAGCCACTGGGACTCTGAAATTGTTAATTTTCTGCGTTTAGAGTTGTGTAATGCTTATTTAACTTTCCACCAAGCCTTCCACATGAGTGCGTATGAATACAACACCAGGATCTAGTCACTTACTTCCAGGATATATACTGCAGAATACTACAGGCCTGCAGTTGGCTACTTGGTGCACAAAGGACAAAGCGACACTTGGCAGATAAACCCTCTTTAAAAGATCCTTTACAAACACAGTTTCGGTTTGAAGTGTAGTTTCCCCTGACTATGGCTCCTATCAGCAGGCCCTCACTTGACAATTTCCATGCTTTCGCTGAAATCGCTCTGACTAGAGGTCTTGTGTTGCTATTCCTCTGTCAGCGAGGTGTGAAGGAGAGGAGTGTGCTTTGACTCACGGTGCCGGGCCTGGTGAAGTCAGTGCTCTGGACCACGCTCTGCCTCATCTGGCTGCTGAACAGGCGAACATATACACTCTGCAGGTACTCAGGGGAGATCTGCAAAAACACAGCAGGCCTCTTGAGATATTGTGCGGGAAGAGCAGGGCTATCATTCGTGTGTCCGTTTAACAGCCTCATTATGAAACAGCAAATACTAAACTTGCTCCAGCCTATTTTGAAACTACACAGTGTATGTCCAGTTGTTTTGTTTAGCATTTACACTTGTGAACTTTGCATTTGCAAAGAACAGCCTAATTAAAGCCCATTTGTTTGTCCGTCCAGTGTTTGTGTCACCACTCATTAGCTTGCTCATGTTAGTGTGTACTCTGCTCATCTACTGTATGTAGTGTGTGCCTGCGGCTTGTCTGTTGGAACTTGTGTTTGTTCGGTAGCCTGACCTACCATTTTTCCGCTGACAGTGGCCTCCAATGAGTCGACCAGCTCGGCAGTGATTCCAATCAGGTTTTGGTAGTCGGCCTGCATCTTGCTGAACTTCCGCATGTAGCTTGTTATGCGCCGGTCGGATTCAACCAGCTGGAGCTGTAACTGCTGCATAGCCTCTGTGCAGTCACACAAACACACGTCCAGGCCGAGGTTACAGAAACAAACGCTGATATCACGTGTACAGTTATGATAGAGTGGTTGTCAGAAAATCCTTTTATTGAAAGTAATTTATTATAAAAATTAGTCAATGGATGTTTATCACCGTAATTTGAAAAAAAAGTTCACTTTAATGTTGCAAATTAAAATTTCAGATTCCATCTCTAATGAACCATTAAATGATTCTTAGTCTTTATCAACCTTTGTTTGCAACTGTTTGTAATACGGACGGAACTTTCCTCCAGGGTTAATATTATAATCTATTTTGTCCACTACATCAGCAATTTCCCTGAGGTATCCACCAAAAGGGATAAAGTTCTATTCTATTCTATTCTATCAGTGGTCCCCAACCACCGGGCCGTGGACCGGTACCGGGCCGTGGGTCATTTGGTACCAGGCCGCACAGAAAGAATAAAAATGTTTTATTGTCTTATTTTGTTTCCAGCAGAGTCTGCAGGGTGTTTTATTTTGAAAAATGACTAGCTTGTCTTCCCGTAACTTCCAGCTGTGCTTGTTTCCCGCACTTGTGTGTGTCAGTTTTCATGCCCGGCCGTTAAAATCTATTCTAACCGCTGCCAAAATGAATAAAAAAAAAACGAACTTTTCTGGAGAGTGTATTTGAAAAGAGGATGAGATGCTGAGACGGAAGAAAAAGTGAATACTTGTTTACCAATAAAAAGTAATTTGATTTGTTTATGACACTTTTTTAATAGAAAAAAACAATATTATTTGTTAAGTGTGCAATGACCGGTCCACAGAAAATTGTTGTGCTTGAAACCGGTCCGTAGTGCAAAAAAGGTTGGAGGCTGCTGCACTACATAATATTATTATCCATTTATCATAACAAATTGCATTTATTACAGAAAAATCTGAATTATATATGAAATTACACAACAGATGTGAGACAGTTAGATTTTGCAATTTGCGTTTTTGCCTTGAAAGACAGTTTTTTTCCTTCATCAGGAAAATCTGTCCACCACTGATGAGTTGACATTTTTTTTCACAATAGATGTAGTTTAATGGAGGGACAGATTGACCAGCTGCAACACAATGCAAAAGGTAGATTCTTTGATTGTAAGACTTACCTTTAGTACTCCTTCCACCCTCCTTCTGCATGACGCCGGTTAAAGAAAACATTCTTGAACTCAAATCAAACATCTTAACTGTATTTGTTCCATTAGCCGGTAGGTGCATCTAGAGTTATATGCACACAATGAAACAATACAGGGAGATAATATGTCAACAGGATACTAGACAAACACACACAATGTTTTACATCCTGCTTGTAAGTGGACAAATTCATCACAGCTATTTGTTTCGCATTTACTCATTGTATAATTTGATATAAGTGTTAGCACAGAATTAATGCTTGTTTGTTTTAAAGGGAGGTATCAATACATTTCAAAAAAAGATCCATTGACCAACTCCCTTGTGCTGGCAAACACAGCTTACATCTATTGTGTTATCGTGGATACAGCAGGACTGTTGACTCTCTCTTATGTCATGTGGACAGCCACGTATGGCCACTTGACCAACAGATAATTTTGATGTGGAATGGTTTGAGCTGCCGAAAGGGCTGCTCATTAAACCCTTTGCAAATTTAAAGGTTATACATGTTAGATAACTTTGCTTGTTTAGTTCAGTAAAGACACATTTTGTTAACCCTTCAGATAACAGTTGCTACGTGTGCTTTGACCTCTTGCCTGTAGTGATGGGGTTTGGTTTCATGAATGTCCTTCTGTCCTGAAGGAGTTAGGGTGAGATTAGGTCCTGCCATGCTCAAACATAGGTATTTAAAAAAGCTAATCACATGCGATTTGCTTGCGGCATATGAAAGAACCAGGTCTGTGCAACAGTCTGATCAACAATGACCTCTGTAGTCACCTACAAAAAGGCTTTTCAAATGTGTAGCTCAGCTATCGAAGGAAACGGAAAAAGACTATTTTAAGCCAACTTCTAAAGACATTTGTCTCCTCTGATGAACCCAAATAATTTGTACTTTTTGTCAGGCAGTTTTGTAAGTCACCCCTGTGAGGGCTGCCAAACGCTGACAGAGAGTTAACCAGAGGCAATTTAGTACAATCTCACTGCCAAATATCCAATGCAGTGAGGATGTAAGAACTCAAAGCAATTTAATGGATAAAAGCTATTTTTACACTAAAGCTATTTAGCTGTGAAAGAAGTTTGTGTGATTGATAATAAAGATAACTTCTGTGACATTTAGATTTACTATTCGGTGTAACTCAGATCAGAACAAGACAGGAACAAGCTGATGATTTTCTCAGCAATGACTCCTAAGCGAGGGATGGTAAAAGGATACATATAAGGTCATCAGCCTCGGGGTGTTGGACGGCTTCAGTGTCACAGACAGGAACTGCTCCAGCTTATCCTTCAACTGTGGTATCCAGGAATCCTACATACACACCACGTATGTCAGAAAAAAAAAACATGGTTATGCTCATTCTCACAGTCACACATGGTAGTACTTTTGAATATGTACTGACTAGATGGCAAAAACAAGAGTAACGTTCTGTAATTATCCGAGCACCTGAAAAAGATCTTTGAAGGAGGGGTGGACGGTGGGGTTGGGAACAAACGGCAAAGCATAGTAAGACAAAAACTCTGTGGTCTGGCTCAGTGCTGCTCCCCGAGTTTCCAGGTACTGCTTGAAGTAGGAAATCCTCTCCTCAAACTCAGCCCGGTCCTGCAGGCACATTGGGGTTTGGAATTATTTATTTCATGAAACCAAATTGTCAGTTGAGCTAAATGCATCGTTTTAAAACACAAATTCTCCTCAGCTGTATGATTGTCTCTTGACCTGCTACCACCACTACAAACTAAAAAAATCTGCAACTTTTGAAAAAAATAACTTTATATACATAGAAATGTGTTGACTCAAACTGCTGTGGCTTACAAAAGCACGGGCTATAGTGCTGCAGAGGTTAGAAGTGTTTTCTTGTGTAGCACAACTACGTCAGTGACAGTCAATCAAAATGAAGCCTGTGGCGCAGCTTAGTGGACACTTTGCAAAACAGCACATACTTCTTTTTTCTATAATTAAAATAATACATATTAAATAAAGAAAGCTCGGATCTACATACCTGTCTACTAGGGTGCCTCCTCAGTGGGTAGATGGTAAAGTGAATTTGAAGGTAGAACTCCAAGCTCAGGGCCACAGCATCTGTGTCTTTTACTTCTGAGGGAATATTCTCTGTCCACAGTTCAAAGAACACCTTGTGGTCTCCATCATCAAAAGAGCAAAGGAGGTCTTTCTAAAAAAAAAAAAAAAAAAAAATCACATTAAAAGAGGAGTGAGCTGGGGAAAAACAAGAACTCTGGGAAGATGTCATTCACAACAACTGGCTACTATTTATGAACATTACACAGTATTTGGATATCACACGATGACAACTGCTGTACAATAACAAATGCATGACTGGTAACATACCTTATAATTTCTACGAACAGATTATTATTATTTTTTTTAAATGCTTACATGAATTGAAAACAAGTGAATTTGCCAGTCTTGACTCAAAGTCCAAGTAGGTTACTGAATTAGTGGAGCATAACGCAAGTTGATGTGTTTCACAATGCTATAGCATAAAACTTTTTTTTTGTTGTTGTTGTATCAGCTGCATGTTAATTGCCATCATGTGGGCAAATATCCTTCCCACTTTTCACCACAAGTAATGCCCATCCCCAGCTGCCACCTTCACAAATAAACAGCCAATCTGCATGCAGGAACATGAGATTTTCAGAACTGAGTCATTTACCTGAACAACGCGAGTCTTTGAGTCTCTGAGGTTACTTCCTCGAGGCTTTGAGACAAGCTTCCCTTTGCTTTGGCAGTCCTTGTCAAAACTGTGAACAGTGTCTTCAAACTCCTCAAACTTGAGATACTACAAAAAAAAGATAGATAGATAGATAGATAGATAGATAGATAGATAGATAGATAGATATTTTATTAATCCCCTAGGGGAAATCCAGGTATATCATAGCTCACGGGTACAAGGTACTGGAGAAAAGTTACACATTTTGTTTGATTTTAATTGAATTCAACTGTTGCTCTCTTTAATTTGAGCATATTACCTCTTTAATCATCCCAAGGAGGTCCGCCTCAGTTGCCAAGATGTCCCCCATCTTGGCTGCCTCCCTCGAATTCATGTGAGTGCCTGAAATCTTCAAAACACCTTCTGACAGCAAAGACTTGTGCTCTCATTCAGTAGCGTTTGTACTTCCTGTGAGCATTCTGCAAGAATAGGAAACCATATGAGACAATAAATGGTCACATGGGAACCCCAAAAACTTGAACACTGGGGTTCAATTAATTCTGCAATTTGAGTATTAATAAAGTGTTTCGTTACTTCTTGAGTGTAATGTAGAATTGCAATACAGGTTACTGTTTTATGGGCTAATTAAATGCAATGACACTGGCATTCTAAAGCTATGACAATAATTATCTTCGCCAGTCAACTTCAACAACAATATAAGCGAAAATGACGCGAGTTAGTATTAGCTGACAAGCTAGCTAATCAGGTAACGTTTTCTGACGTTAGGAGAGCACAACAACATTATTCTTACCTCACTCTCGCAACATTTACTTGGTGAATGTAGGCTTTACAAACATTTCGAGGCGTTCATCCGCAGCTAAAACTCATAGAATCCATTTTCGGCATCGGCTGTGGTCTTTAATTACACTTTATCTCCGTTAGTTAGCCATTAGCTAGCAACCGTACACAGACAGGACGCTAAAAAAAAAACACCTAGCAACCGAATGGCTGTGAAATAAGGGCTGGAAAGTGGAAGCAGATGTCGTAAATACAGGCAACTGTGAAGCAACAAATAAAGGTGTACTTTTTCACAACACTGTTTTTTTTTTGTTTGTTTGTTTGTTTGTTTTTTAGATATAGATAATAATATTCCGCCCATTATAGTTTTTGAACACCAAACAGGAGTTCATTTTCTGCACAGACCGTACAGGATGTTGAACCGGAAGCAGTTCTCGTGTCAAAGGTTGAGCACATTGTTTCTGCGCGGTACAGTCTGTTTGAGAATATAATGAATGAAGTTTTACTCAAATAAGAAATTTAGCGTAAACGTTACGTAGTCGTTCTCTCGGAGGGAAGCTGACTGACCCCGACTTCACGGTGTTTACAGTATAATATAAGAACGCCGCCTTACTGAAGGTAAGTTTGGGGAATTGTGTAGAAAACATGCTAAAGCTAACAGCTAGCATGAATAGGAGACAGCAGAAGTTGTGTTAATGCTGTGACAAGACTTTGGCTAATTCTTATTCAGGTATGCTTATCAGGCTTGTCATACTAGTGCTGGGTGGTTTGAAGATGCACAGAGCATTCACTAAGTTATGTGGCTTACTGCAGGTCAAAAACAGTTTAAGTGAAAATCCCAATTGGTTGTAATATTGTTTTCTATCAAAATACATGGATATGAACAAAGTGATCTAAAATGTTCAACTGTTAGACAAGCAAACATTTCAATTCTTTTGTTTTTCTTCCTGTACAAGTTCACAGACTGGGACAGAGATGGCTGGAATTTTGTTTGAGGATATCTTTGATGTAAAAGATATCGATCCAGATGGCAAAAAGTTTGACAGAGGTAAGTCAGCTGTGATTATAAAATAAGTGTTTAAAAAAAGTGTAAAGTTTAAACACCATCCACTGGAAAAATTCATGTATATTGTAATTGTTTCCGGTCACTACTCCTGTACCGGTAATGCCATCAGTCACCCTATTCTTTTTCTTTTTCTTTTCTTTTTTTAAATATGACATTGCTTTAAGATGATCAAGCTCATCATCTGTCAAGCTAAACACCCAGATGGATTTCTTATTTGTGAGAGTCTAAACAAAAGTAAAAGATGAGTGATCACTGCACTTTATTTTTCATTTCTTCAAAGACATGATTTCAAATTAATACCAGCGTTGCTTGTGGTCAGTCATTGATCAATTTGGTGCAGTTTCAATCATCTTAGTTGTTGCTAGTTTTTCTTCTTTTGTTTGTGCTTTAGATTTTTATTTACATTTGTTTGTTGTTTATCTTGCATTGTTTTCAATTAATGTCCCTTAATTTCAATTATTTATTTCAATTATTTGCTGCAGTGTCGCGCCTTCACTGTGAAAGTGAGTCTTTCAAGATGGACCTCATCTTGGATGTGAACATCCAGATCTATCCTGTTGATCTCGGTAAGAAAATACAATTTTTATCATTGCTGTCATAATGCAATCTGATTTGTACCCAGTATGCCCAGAATAAGTGACCATATCAGCTATTTTTTAATATTTCATCAGATTAAATGTTCACTTGTTAAAGCTATCGTTCTACTTTTAGGTGAGATGGTTGCGTCGTTGTTTTTCACTCGGCTCCCATAACATTTAACTTTTGTTTCCAATCCATGTGGATGTGCTGTGTGATGTTACTGTCATCTTCAAACCAAACCAACCTTTGATATTAATAAACCTTGTTTATAAATAGCTGCCGGTCAAAATCTCGTCACTAAGCTGAAGTGTCCAAAGTGCAAAATGATAATAAACCCAGTTTAATTTTATTTCATTTCATTCAGGTGACAAGTTCAGGCTGGTCATTGCCAGCACCTTATATGAAGATGGAACACCAGATGATGGAGAGTACAATCCTCAGGATGATCGGCCGTCCAGGTAAGACATTGTTCTTTAAGGGTTAAGTGCATATAACCTTCCAAACAACTGCTATTTGTTAGATGTATTTACTAAATGATCCACCACCATTCTGAGAAACAGTATTTTTTATTTATTTACTTTTTTTGCATATTAATGTTTGTCCTCTCATTTCGCTTTATTCAAATTTACAGAGCAGACCAATTTGATTATGTGATGTACGGAAAAGTTTACAAAATTGAGGGTGATGAGACTTCAACAGAGGCTGCCACACGACTGTAAGTGAACTGTCTTCACATGCATCATGTGTTACACGAATGGAAAGACATCAGCTGCTGGCACAAATCTGTGTTCATAACATTAAAGAGGGAATACACGTGAAAATAAGAAGCCATTTTTTATCATTTGGTGATTATTTCAGACTGTCACTGACAGTGTTAACAATTACACGTGTGCTTCTTCTTTCAGCTCTGCCTATGTGTCTTACGGAGGCCTCCTCATGAGGCTGCAGGGAGACGCCAACAACCTTCACGGCTTTGAGGTGGACTCCAGGGTCTACCTCCTCATGAAGAAGCTGGCCTTCTGAAACCAACCCTGCACACTCACCCACCCGGTTTCTATTACTGCCACAGACTTAAAGTCGTACTGAGCAGGGTGCTAAAAAAAAACATTGAACTTCCCAAGCAGGGAGCACATAGACAAGAATACGTGGATTCTGTAGACAAGATATTTTGTGTTTTATACTCATTGATTTGAAATGGTTTCTCTAAGGAGACGGACTAAGGACTGTGACACATAAGAACTGCTGCAACTTCCATCTGCCGACAGACTGTAAATAAAGATTTCTTTTATACAAAACGATGCCTCGATGGTCACCTTGGATCATGCTTTGATAAGGTTTTGTTTTGGCGTGTTTCTTCTTTCGAGGATTTCTTCTGAACATATACCTCGACCGCTGCCTCGCTGAGCTTCCAAACATGCCAAATTAGGTTTTATTGGACAGTATCTGCTATGAGCAAGAATGGGGAATCTGTTTAACATTATTACACAAGAAAGCTGTGTGCTATGGGCCAGATAAGGTTTTATAAAGAAGCTGGTGTTAATTGGGCCGTGAAGCTCGCAGGACAGTGTTTTGGTCTCAGGTGTCTAATTACAGTTCCAGTGAACAGTGAGGATGATAGGTTTGGAATAATTGGAACACGAGCTCATGCAAAGTGCTGCTTGATGTTTACATGTGTAGCTATTAAATTAGCTGTAACCTTGTTTGGCCTTAACCTCTTCCTCTTTTTTTAAAAATCTTGTTTTTCTAAAGTTCCACAGCATACATTAGCTAACTCTAACCTTAGCTTTTAGATTTTTAGACTTTTAGATGCCAGCGAACTGAAATGTGGACACTCGGGACAGAAAATTGAATTAAGGGCAAAGAGGCTGCGTTTGTGCAGAAAACAGGATTCTCTGTGTCAGCGGTAATGGATGTCACAGGATAGAGAAGAACACTACCGATGACTAACACACTCCTGGTGTGTGTTTGGAAAGCCTTACATGCTCTTGACTGTAGTGATGCTCCAGATAAGCTTGTAGCTGTACAACGCTTAA